CTGCGGGACCTGGCTGAGCGGGTGATCGACGCCTCACAGAACGAGCAGGAGCTCAACAAGCTGCTCAATGAAGCCTTGCTGGAGCGCGAGTCTGTCCAGGCGTGAGTCACCTGGGCCCGGCGCGGGTTGGCATGTCCCAGTGCCGCTGGGTGCTGATGGGTGGTTTTGCCAGCAGGCTGAAGGGGAAGAGCACCTTTCGGCTCTCCATGCGCTTCATTGACCCCGAGATGGAGACACGCTACTCAGTCGAGAAAGAGAAGCAGAGCGGAGCTGCCTTCAGCTGCTCCTGTGTTGTCCTCTTCTTCACCGCCTTAGTGGAGGTCTTCATTGACCCCTGGTATGGCAGGGAGAGAGTGGGGATGGGTGGCCCCGAACCACCGGGCTTCAAACCCATCCCCTCTTGGGCTTCTTGGCAGGGTGCTGGCCAACTACGTGACCTTTGTGGTGGGGGAGATCCTGCTGCTAATCCTCACCCTCTGCTCGTTGGCTGCCATCTTTCCCCGGGTGAGACAGGACATCATTCGTGGTGACAGGACACTGTGATGTCCCGTGATGTCCATGATGTCCCACCACCATGTCATGCCTGAGCAAAACCCCAGTACTTTCATCTCCCCGCAGGTCTTCCCCAAAAAGCTCGTGGCCTTCTCCACCTGGATCGACAGGACCCGCTGGGCACGCAACACCTGGGCCATGGCTGCCATCATCATTGTCACCATGGCAGATATTGTGGACATGGTAAGCCACTGTCCTGGGTGCCAGCAGGGCTGAACCTGCTCCAGGCTCCATCCAAGCAGCCCATAATTGTGCACAGCTGATAGTTAAAGCAATTAGCAGGGCTGCACTGTAGAGGGGTGGAATTCAGGTTGGGTGTCCTCCTCCTGCTCTGCAAAGCACCCTGTCCCTTTGGGTGCCCATGCAGCCAATGGAGAGGTGCACCCTGTTCCCATGTCCCCCTCCTCACCCTGCCCTCGTGCCCCCAGCTCAGCTGCCAGCAGGACCACAGCGGGATGGGCAACGGGACAGCAGGGCCACCCGAGCCAGGTGGCTGCGGGGAGCAACCCAAGTACTACAGCTACATTGCCCTGCTGGCCTTGGTGGCTACCATCATGCTGGTGCAGGTCAGCCACATGGTCAAACTGACCCTCATGGTATTGATCACTGGGGCCACCGGTGCTGTCAACATCTATGCCTGGGAGCACATCTTTGACCAGTACGACCGCCGCCGTGGCCAGCAAAGCACGTAAGGGGTGGCAGGGGGGTGGGCACAGGCTGGGGGGCAAAGCCATCACCACAGCCCATCCATGCTGTGTCACCTCTGCTGCAGGTCCTTGCTGGTGCCCTCCAAGTACTCCATGACAGTGATGATCTTCATCGTGATGCTCAGCTTCTACTACTTCTCTCGCCACGTGAGTGACTTGTTCCCCTCCCTTCTGTGTCTTCAGCCTCAGCCCCTGCCCGTATTTCTTGTAAGCTCCAAGGCAGCATCTCCAGCTCTTCTCTAAGGAAGCCCACCTAAGGGCTCTCCAGGACCACATCAGTGCAGAGAACACTTCCATCTCACCCCTATGGTTAGGGGTATGTAAAAACATGGTGGCCCTAAGGCCCATGCCTGCCCCACAAGGGTTCTATTTGCACCTTGGAGCAGGTCTCATCTCCCTGATTAGGGCTTCACCTTGTCCCAGAGCCTTCTTCCAGGCCCAGACCAGCCCCATAGCACCCTGGATGCTCACAGCACTGGAGGGAACCCATTGGTGTGTAGGAAGTGGGGGTGCAGCCATATTCCCCCTCCCACAGGTGGAGAAGCTGGCCAGGACCCTCTTCCTCTGGAAGATTGATGTCCATGACCAGAAGGAGCGGGTCTATGAGATGCGTCGCTGGAATGAGGCCCTTGTCACCAACATGCTGCCCGAGCACGTGGCCCGGCACTTCTTGGGCTCCAAGAAACGAGATGAGGTAAGGGGCACCCAGAAGAGGGTTTTTGTTCCCATTTTGGGTGCAGATGGGATGGGCTTTCAGCTCCAGAGGCTTTGCCATAGGCTCTGGCTGAGCATCTTTGGTTGGCTGAAGATGATGTCTTGGCTGTGAGGTTGCAGAGCACCCTCATTTTTTTACATGTCCCAAAGGAAGGTAGTTTCATGGGAGGGTTTAGGTTTGCTGGAGGTGCTGATGTCATGTGTGGGCACTTTTTTGGTTGCCCAAAGAAGTTGTGGATGCTCCACCCCTGGCAGTGTTCAAGGCCAGGTTGGATGGGGCTTTGGGTGACATGGTCTAGTGTGAGGCGTCCCTGCTCATGACAGGGAGTTGGAACTAGACAAGCTTTCAGGTCCTTTTCAGTCCAAACCATTCTATGATTCTATGTCTGTGGCTTACAACCACTGTTCCATCCCGTCCCCAGGAGCTGTACAGTCAGTCTTACGACGAGATTGGTGTCATGTTTGCCTCTCTCCCGAACTTTGCCGACTTCTACACAGAGGAGAGCATCAACAACGGAGGCATTGAGTGCCTGCGGTTCCTCAATGAGATCATCTCTGACTTCGACGCAGTGAGTTGGGACGGAGACGGCCATGGGGATGGTGTGGGGCTTGGTTAGACCTTCCCTTCCCGCCCCATCTAGGGGCAGAAGGACCTGCCCTGGTCCTGGCATGTCTGAGGGTCTTGTCTCCATGACTCAGCTACTGGATGAACCCCAATTCCGGTGCATCACCAAAATCAAAACAATCGGCAGCACCTACATGGCCGCTTCTGGAGTGACCCCTGATGCCAACGCCAATGGCTACAGCACCAAGGTGAGGGGTCCCCATGGGGATGGAGGACAGTGGGCAAGAGGTGAACAGGCCTGATCTGTGCTGTCCTTGCAGAAGGAGACCCTCTCGGATAAGGAACGCTGGCAGCACTTGGCTGACTTGGCTGACTTTGCCTTAGCCATGAAGGTGACGCTGATGAACATCAACTACCAGTCCTTCAACAACTTCATGCTCCGTATAGGCAAGTCCAGGAGCGTGGGGCAGGGTCTGCCTCAGCCTCCCCTGTCTGTCTTTCCTTTTTTTGCTTCGCGCGCGCAGGGGGGGGGTGGGGGGAAAAAGCCGTAGTTCAGCAGCTGTAGGCTGGGGGGGAACCTCATTGTCCCCACCCCTTCCCTGGGACAGACTCTCCTTCCGACTGGGATGTCCCATCTGTGTCACCAGGCACAGAGGTGACCTGTGCTCCCCATCTTGTGCAG